TCTGTTAGCTGCACGTAAATTAGTTATGTGAGTTCTTTATCTCAGGAGACAGACCTGTTGGCTGCACGTAAAATGGCTGTGCTGGCTCTCTGTCTCCGGAGACAGATGTATTGGCTGCATGTAAAATAGTATGCTGGCTTTCTGTCTCCAGAGACAGATGCCTTGGTCATGTTTAAAATGGCTGTGCTGGCTCTCTGTCTCCGGAGACAGATCTGTTAGCTACATGTAAAATAGTATGCTAGCTTTCTATCTCCGAAGACAGATGCATTGGTCGTATTTAAAATGGCTGTGGCTCTCTGTCTCTGGAGACAGACCTGTTGGTTGCACGTAAAATAGTGTGCTAGTAATCTGTCTCCGGAGACAGATTCTCGTGTTAGCACGTAAATGGTTGCGCTAGTTTTCTGTCTCTGGAGTCAGACGTGCTAGCTGCAGGTAAATGGCCGTGCTATCTTTCTGTCTCCGGAGACAGATGCGTAAGCCAGTAATTATAAAGCCTGCTCCACTTGGTCTAAAGAGTTAAAAGCAACTCTCTTTTCTTTATAATTTCTTGAGAATATAGTCAGCTATACAGCCACAGACTTGAGCGCGGTATTTGTGAATGAAAGCCAATAAGATTTCTCACTAACCAGCGCCATGAAGCGGTCATCAACAAGCAGTCGCATTGATAACAAGACAAGGCCGCTGAAGAAGCATCGGAAAGGCGGTGATAAAAGCCATGCCGGTGCGTCTCCAGACGCGACAGACTCTCGTGAACGCGTCGTGATCGAAGAGCTCTCATCCGCCCGGACACTGGCAAGCTCGCATTTGCTTGCAGTCGCGAAGCTTCCGCTGGATGTCCTATCTACGCGTTGGAGCGAAGGAAAAAACCGACCGGTGGACGAGGACCACATAGACAAGCTGCGCCGAAGTTTCATCAATAGGGGCTTCGGCAGGCTAGACCAAGAAAATTACATGAAGGTCACCTGCAGCGCAGAGGCTGTTGACGCAATCAAGGCCCATCTTCGCAAAAGAGCGCACTCGGCAGGGGACCCTGTCGTTAGCCCAGGAGGAGGTCAGACCACTAGCCAGAAACAAAGCTCTGAGCCCCTTGACTTCCGTGCGTGGGCCGAGGTTACAGACGAGCTTGCTGAGTTGCTCGACGGGCAGCACCGCCTAAAGGCGGCCCATCAAGCCCTGGGTGCGGGCAACAGCAGCGAAAAATGGTGGACTTGTGAGATCTACAATAAAGGTATGAAGTCGTGGAATGCTCCCGGCTATGCCCTACCCTATAAGGTGGTCTATATAATAACAAGTCTCTAAATACCTTTATAGACACGCTTCCAAGTCAT